TATAGAGAGGATGATGAGGGAGTGGTTACCCTTTAGGCTTCAACAAGTTAGTTGTGAGGATACAACAGGAGGACTCGCTGAGGAGTCTCCTTGATCTATTGGGGTATATATACTACTATAGGTTTGTTTGTACATATGTACTATACAGTTGATGAAGGCAGTAGCTGATGATATCTGAGGGCGCAGCCTGTGTGACCAGCTCCACTGCGTGAGAGACTTGTATCTAAAATAGAAAAAAAGGCAGTGCAGCGCGAGAAAGTGGAGTTTGAACAAAAAGGGAAAATGCCGCATGGCACGGAGTGTGAAAACTACAGTAAGAGGTTAAAGAGGAGAATGAAGATTGAAGGTCCAAAAATGTGTTATTGTAACAGTGTGTTCTGAGAGATTCAAGCAGTGGTTATCATGGGCATGAGGACAGGGCAGTACAATTCTGGTAGCAATAATAGAATCATGGCCAAGAAGTCTCAGTTGTCTACCAACGCACCTATTCCTACCAGTTCCACTCTCAATTTCATCATTTCGCCAAGATGGGCCCTGATATCAGTTTTGTTGGTACATCATAGATCTTGGAGTTTTCTACACAGATCCACTTGTACAACTTCACTTTTTTGCTCATAATACCGAGTTCCTCTCTAGAAATTCTGTGGTGTATAAATGCCACAGACACAGAGGATTGATTGATGATATCATATTATTGTGATCTCTGCTTCCAACTCAAAAGTGAAAAAACTGTTGCAATGGTATTGCTCTTTTGAAATGGACATATCTTCACAGCCGCTGGGCCAAATCACATGACCCAGCAACCATTTTGTAACCAAGACCAAGTACGTCTGTCAACACCACCAGAGCTGAGCGATATTTCCACACCTGTTGGCGGTGCACTTTGCACACCGCATTTAGCCCAAACATTGCAACAGTTTTTGGAGTCACTGTAGTACAATTTTTGGACCTTTAAAGTTTATTCTCCACTTTAACTTTCTTTCGTAGTTTTCACACAACCATGGCTGTAGCTTTCTTCTTTGCTATAAGTATCTTAAGAAGATCATCATCCTTCTTGGAAAACCCTTTATTTGTTTTCTTAAATGCAGCCTATATTTTGCCATGCCATTAATGTCAGTACATGTACTTGTTTGAGAAACAAAATTAAAATTACCTTTTTGCCAGTAGTTGGAGGCTGTGTAGAAGGTGGGGGAGAAGGGCAACTTGAGGGTGTTCTGTTGACTGCCCTTCAACTTCTGGTGTTATGCTGAGAGGTTGACATAGACCTTGCCATGAAAAATATTAAGTAGAAAGGAGATGAGGTACAGGATATGTATGTAGAAGAACTTAGATGCACTAAGTAGATATGCACCAGGTTAATGTAGACCTGGTGGTCAGTGGAAAATTTGACTGCTGTGAACAAGTAATACCACATAGGGACCTACAAAAACACAGAAACAGATATGAGAACATATAAAGCAATAGTCTACATGCAATACAATGATACTAAAACCTATAGAGTAAATTTGAAAGAAACAACTATGTAAGCCAGCTAAAATATCTATTGTTTTCCAACCATTCCTATCATTTACCCAACTCCCAAACCCTCCATCTATATGTAAAACTAATGGTACTCTATTGCCCTGATAATTCAAGTTAAAATGAGTAGTCTCCTCTGAGCGAAAAACTGCAAAGTCCCAACAACCCATCTCAAAAACTAACTCTTGGTCATGCAAGACAAGTCCTCCACCTGTAAAATCCCCTAGAGGTAAAACAAACAGAGATTGTTATCCTTACTATCATGATGTGCATTGGTGCAAACATTGATATTGATAACCATGGAAAGAAAAGGGCTGACTGTGGAACCTGGTTTGGCTGGCAGAGTATCGATAATCTGGACAAGATTATTGTACTCTGCAGGTAAAAAATGTTCCATCTACAAACTCACATTAGCTGTGCACAATATGATACATATAGCACTCACCACATTAGAAATCCATTCAAAGACTTCTCCAAAAGTGTTGGTTGTAACTACAAGCTCTTGGGGATGCACGTCAATAGGTGCCCCATGTCCCTTGCAAAATTATCATTTCTGTGGGAAAAAACAGAAACAAAAAGAAGAGAATATGCACCATTTTCCCATAGCAATTCCACCATAAGAAGTGGAGACACTGGAAAGGAGCTCTGCCAGCATTGTTGTTGAAGATGGGCAGACCATCAAAATAGGCCTTGAGGTTCAACATCAGGTTCATCTTCATATATTGAGGCATTGAAGGGCATATAAAAGCCATAAGGGTCCTATTGTTGTTGCAAATGTTGATGGCAGATGGGACACAGAGCATAGGGACTCTGAGGTAAGAATCCTCAGCCTTGCATCCATCAATGTAGTATGTAGATAGCTGTAGTACATGTCAGTAGAGCAAAGAAAAAGAAAAAAAAGCTCACCTTTGATATCAAGTCTGGAAAACCTAATACAGTAGGAGTTTTGATGGTAATTTTGAGAATCAGTCCACTCAAAGTTCTCCTTGTGTCTGTGACTTGTGGGAAATTGGCAATTGGTGGTGCTATGGCGGTTATACAATGTCAAATTTGTATAAGACATTGGTAGGGCAGTATAGTCAACCCTAGTGTTGGTGGTGTTGGTGGTGTTGTTGTTGGCATCATTGCTATTGGTGTCCTCATTATTGGTGTTCCGCTGAGGGGTAAAGGCTGAAGGAGAGATAGTGACATTGAGGGGATCTTCTAGGCATGGTCTGAGTGCCTCCTTCCATGGCAATTGCAAGTGTCTTGGGAGTTAAAAATTGCTGAGAAAAAGCATAAGCAACATGAGATAATAACAAGAAATGACTTACTTGAGGTGGACACTGCCAAAGAGTCTGTCAGAATCCTTCAAGGACATGCAATTGAAGGATAATTTGAGCAGGAAGTGCGGAAATAAGAGTGGCAGTAGTGTGTGTAAGTGAGTAATAGTGGGGATAATTGGGTTGCACATGAGCAATCCAGGGCCTACAAAATGGGGAGAAAAGTGAGTATAACCTAAGGGGAGTAACAAAAACTCACCCTCATTTATAGGACACCTGAGAAGCTTCCCGACTTCCCAAGGCACCCTTGCATTAACCCTGCTCAGCATCCACCAAAGATCCAACCCGGCAACAAGCACTAGCAGGTACACTGACCCACTTGCAGCTAGTTGCAGGTACTTCCAGCCAGCCTCTACCCACTGGTAGAATATTCTCTCGCTGGGGTGCACCCTGGAATAGGCTGCACCCTAGTCCTATAGATGCTCTTGATGTTGCCAAAAGAACCAGCAGGGTTGATCAAGCTATAAAACAAGGTATTTAAATGTTAATACAGAATCAATAAAGAGCTCACCTATGCAACATTACAGCCTGATGGATCCTACTCAACATCAACAAGAAAGACACCCCAACCTCGTGCCCAGTCAAATGAATATCACATATTGATTGTCCACTCAAGGGAAGCACCTTTTCACATAATTTCATTGGCAGCCAAGGACAACTGTATTTGCTGGACCCAGGTTGCTGGGTTTTGGGAGATAGACTAGAAGTGAGCTGTGGAGAGGGAGGAAATGATAGTGTCAGATGAAGCCAGGGAAGTACATATTATATTTTTCCCAAGTTTCCCCAGCAACTAACAGCACTTTGTTTCTAGGACACGCTCCAGCTACTGCAGGGTACACTGCCAGTTTGATCTTTCTGGACTTGGCTATGAAATTCTGACAAGTTGTTCTGGTAGTGTAAGGACCGTTTTATCATTTTCTTATCTTCTCTATGTCTTGGTTCTCGAACACTTTTCCCATTACACCTCTGGCTCTAGGGCTAGAGGTATCATTTGCCATTTTACTTCTCATAGCCCTCACAGACTTTCTTAACCATTGCTACCACTTTATATCACAGATCAGAGACTGGGTATTGCTCCCAGCCAGCCAGCACACTGAGTAGGGACTGGTAGTAGGCATCTCGCCAACCAGCTCCAAGCCCCAGTAAAGCCTGGATATATTAATAAACACCTTGTTCAGGATCGTACCTCATCATGAGGATACGGTTCCTGAACACGCGTAACAAACCTCTATTATTAGTACAAAACTCTCACCTGCTGATTAATCAAGTTAAAAGTCGTACAATAGTTGTCCTCTCTTTTTCTTATTGGCTGATTGGTTTCTCAGACCACTTTTCAATTATTCTCCTTTCGGTCTGAGGAACGAACAGTTCACTATATAAAGTCTTACCTATTCATGTATAGCTCCTTAGTTTTCTATTACTGAATTTACCCGTTTTACTCCTCAACAAAAACCTTTGAAGCTTACCTCTCAAAGTCCTCTACTCGCTATATTTACTAGTGTCTGTCAACCTCAAGCTCATCGAACCCCTTACTCCCTGCAAGTGCAGAAGGAGACAGGTTTAGTTTTTGTTATAGTTTATCGTTGCCTCACAGGTAGGAGGGTTGGTAGGAGGTGGGGGAAGAGGAAGTGATGGTTGTCAAAGCATATTGCAGCCTAGTGGTGATCTATGAAAGGTGTATTGCAGCTTCTTCTTCAGTGTGTTTCTAATGGCTGCTGGCACATTTTTGAGGTGTGAGCTTGCTGTTTGGCACATGTGGCGGGGGTGGGCGGGAGG